CTCCAAAAAGTGTTTGCTTAATATATCAACCAAATTGTTCATACCAAATATCTTATCATTTTGTTTTGAGAGTATTAAAGACGGCCACAATCATATCGAGTGTGACCAATTTGATCACGGAACAGAATCATCAACAAAACAACAAACAAGAGCTTCATTACCGGCGACGAAGCTTCGATTAATCTACCGGTAAGAAACGTCTGTGTCGAGAGCCCCACAAGCCTCCCTCTTCTTTCTCTAACGTACTCATCAATGGCTTCTTCCATTTGCTTCAACGAAGAGACATTATTCACACCGTCTTGACCTAACTTTTTCCACAAGCATCTTGCTAAAACGACACCATCTTCAAGCGCAGCCGAGCAGCCTTGTCCTAAGAATGGACCCATCAGGTGCATACTGTCTCCAGCCACTGTCACGGTGCCACGTCGGAATTTACCGGACAGAACATTCCATGGAGCTCGATACCTTAAACGGCTGATATATAAGGAGTCGATATCGCAATTCTTCACCATCTCTTTCCACTCTTCCGAGAATCCACGGACCGACGCTAGTGTCAATCTTGCGACATCCTCTTGGTTTTTAACATTGTTCGAGTCTATTTATAAAACAAATTCATATAACATTTTAACAGAAATATATAAATTGTACCATGAACGGAGAAAATATTAATTACCTTGGGGACACTTTAGCATAACAACAAACCAGAAGACGAGTTTGTGAGTTATAGGAAGTCGTCCGCATACGACGTTGTCCATCTTGATTCTTATAAACTCTTGTCGGAATCCATGGCCAACCGGATAATTTGTGAATCCTCTTACTGCCCTAGAACCGAGGGCTTTAGTTGGGTTTAGTCCTAGAAATCCAGAGACGATAGAATTCGACCCGTCGCAACCAATCAAGATCTAAATTTAAGAATCTATAAAATTAGTAAGAGATATGGACTAAATAGTAAGGTTGTAGAGCCTGGCTAAAAATTTAATAGTGATTACGATCAGAATCTGGTTAGAAACTAATGATAATTTCAGCTAGAAAGTAGTTAAACGACCAGTGTGATAATTGATTGATTACTATCATGACACTCAAAAGTTTCTAAGCAATCTAGCCAACTAACAAATGCCACAAATTTCAGCTAGCTCAAGTGATGTGCCCACTTTGTTTTATAGCCAATCCAACCATTAAGCTAATTAATAACATGATTTACCGCCATAGACCATTTAGTGCTAAACATGTAGCTTTGTTTTTTTTTTGTTAAAGGTCAAGCATGTAGCTTTCAATACAAGTATTTTAGAAAGAAAAAAAAAACAAATGATTGAATATTCAAAAACTCAATTTATGGATCCAATCACGACTTTCAAAAACGTCACTTTCGACCATAATAAAATGTCAGTTTCGACCATAGTAAAATGTCGACTGTATATGTAAATATGTTCCACTACTCAATATCATTGATGAATACTAGCTAAATGATCTATCACTACAAGAATTCAGTGAATTAGCTAAGGGCCGGCGAAGGCATTTCCGTAGCCATCGCCATTAGCTAAGTAAATGGTGAGAGATGGCGACAGAAATAATAATGTTACTTTCGTAGCCAAATCTGTGGCAAATATGTAGCAATTCGTAGCTATATAGCTATGTACGGATTCTGTAGACATTTTGTAGCTAAATAGCTACACACTTGCTAGAGATGGGTTGTTGCCATATATTTTCAATTAGCGAAGGATAGCTACAGATATATATGTTGCTAAATGGCAACGATGTGTGTGCCGTGACCAATCCGTCGCATGTTGGCAATGACATAGCAACATATCTGACGTAGCTAAGTTCTTTACTGGAAATCTTTTATATTCACAAATCTTGAATTATTTTGATGGAAAGATTAATACTTAAAAGATGAGAAGGCCCCTGAGACTTGAGAGTACGTATGAGAAGTCTCCATGTGGGAAACGTCACGTTCTCTGAGTCGTGAATGGAAGTGATCAAAACTCTTCATAACAAGTTTTGGCTCTGTTTTTGGCGTTTTGGCTCTGTTTTTTTGGAGTTTATCTGATTTTGTTTTCTGTTTGTTGGAGAAAGACTATGTGTTCTTTGTTCCTTTCACTTCTAACAAGAATTCAATGTTTTTTATAAAAAAAACGGTACATTTATGTTATGTTGGTGTAGGTCCAATCCCATTGGTTCCTTGTGAGCTTTTAATTAATTATTTTGTGTCAACTATCACAACTTGTTAGATTTGCATTGAACATAAATATTAATTACGGCACCGATCATCAGTATATATAATGAGAAGAACAATTGTATCTCCTGACACCTTTCTCATCCTCAACTCAATCTCCTCTCAGCACTCTCATTCTTAAAAATAACTAGTTTAGAAGGACAATTCTCGATGGTCATGGATCAAGACGAAACATACGAGTGTAAGGCCAACTCTCTGGAAACTAACAGGGTCAAAGCCAACTCTCGAGCAAGAAAGGATTGTAACGGGTGCATGTGTTCTTACAAAAATTCCCAAAAGTACCGTTTTGCTTTACTTTTAATTTGTATAGCATTAGGTTGTTGCTAAATTCATTCGGTTTCAGTAATTTACTTAGACTTAGTGAATCAATTCATGTAAAAAAGTAACTTTAAGACCCTAACTTTAACTTATATAAATATATATATATATATATTCGAGTTTAATTTTTTGTTTTTTTTAACTTTTGAGCTTTAGCTTATAACACTAGAATTTTTAATATCCCGTGATTCTATAGTCAGTCACACTAATTAATTTTCATATATTTTGTAGCCATATAGAAAATTGAATAACACTTGCACCTTTTGTTTTGTTTTGGAAAGGTACTCCGCCAATAGTTTGGAAAGTTGCCACATAAATGTTCCCCAAATTTTTCTGTTTCCCGCAAACCATATTTCTGTTTCCCGCAAAGTCGCCTAATCCATCTCAGCAGCTCCACACCCAAGCTTCTCTAACTGATCCACACATTCTACCATAGCATAATCTAGATTACATTCATGGCACTTCTTAGAACTTTTTTTGGAGATTAGTGAAAACTGAAGACAAAACAAGCAGAATCTTTTTGTTATGTCTTTTGTTTTCACTTTTCAGGTTAAATCTTTTGTTTGTTGACTTGTATGATGTATGCAGCTTTAAGATTTCTTGTTATAAGATAATTAATGTTTTAAGAACAATCTAGTTTTATGCTTTAAGGAAAAACATGAAATCGAATAAGCTAAGCTACTTATGAACTATGACAAAGTATAACTTCTATTTCTAATATGATTCCTATTTCAAATAAGATTCATATTTCATATAAGATTCATATTTCATGTAGGATTCTATTTCTATGTATGATTCATATTTCAAATAAGATATATTTCAAATAAGATTCATATTTCAAATAAGATTCATATTTCTAAGATTCATATTTCAAATAAGATTCATATTTATGTATGCTGCTTTTTTATTCATGAGTTTCTTTTGTAACAATTTTTTGGTTTACGAATATTATAACACCTAGTTATCATTTAGTTTGTGGCCATCGATGTTATTGCGTTCCTTGTCATATAGTTTCTGGCCATCGCATAATAACACCTAGTCCATTTACAAAGTTAAATAACAACATCCCCTTGTTTGTATGTTCTCGAAAAGTCTGGAAAGTTTCCACGAAACTTTTGGCCAAATATTTCACTTTCCCTCTATTTGTTTTCCCAAAATTTGCTTTCCCTTTCCAAAACTTAACCTTTTCTTCTTTTCCCTCTGCTCCAATCCACAGCTGATTCATTTCCCTCTTCTCTTTCGCGGCTCACATTTTCCTATCTCTCCTTTCGCAAAGAACGCTATAAGATCTCAGTCTCTGTCTTTCTCTCCATTTCTCTTTCACAGCAGAGAACACACAATATCCTACTCTCTCTCAATCGCTCCTTTTCTCCTTCGCCTCTAGAAAAGCCACTCATCTCGAAGGTTAGATTCTGGCTGGCTAAATCTCTAGATTGAGTTTTTTTTGGGTGAAATTATGCAATTTGGCTTTGGTTAATTGATGTTGTTCTGCAGAAATTGATTTAGGGTTAATTTTTTCTTTGAATCTCAGCTGTCTTTTGGTGAAATTGATTTAGGGTTAATTTCTTCTTTGAATCTCAGCTGTTTTTGGTGAATTTATCTCTTCAGTTTTCAGAAATTGATGTTTATATCCTGTAATTAATTGATGGCTCTGTTCTTCTTTAGGTCTACGATGTTTCTTCTGATTATCATACCAATTTTTTTTGTCTCTAATGTCTTTCAAAACTCTGTAATCGTAGTATGTATCCACCACGTCGAGGCGGACTACCTGCAAGAGGTTATGTTGGACGAGTGACCCCTGCTCTCTCTAGGGCTGGTAATTCGTGTGCACCGCCGGGATTCCCTCTTCGTAGCATCACCGAGCTCTTGCAGGCGCCTGCACGACGAAACCAGCCGACTCTCCATCCCGAGAAGAGAGATGGCGCACTTTGGTAAGAAACCATTGTGTAAATTTATATAAAATTTAAGTTACGTTTTAACAAGAGTTCCAATTCCTGTACTTCGTGGATCGCAGATCTAGTTTACACAATTCTTAGAATTAGCCCCAATTTTATTCATTTTGGATCGAATTTGGATTTTGCATTGATCATAAAGACTGAAACTTTTAGAGAAAACGATTGAATAAGCTTTTTTTCTATTCGTAGTTAAAATTCCAAATGTGAAAGCTACAATCTCTTAAGTTCTTTTTGTTTTTTTTTTTATCATAAAGACTCAGAATTTAGAGAAAACGATTGAATCAGCTGTTTTCGTCTAAATTGATTGCCAAAGCTTCAAGCTTTTTGTTTTTTTTTTCTTTTTCTCTGAAGTTATTCTTGTTCGTTGTGTGTTTGTGCTTTTACAGTAACTTAATATTATGCCTTGTCATGATAGGATCTCATCGACAATGAGGTCAACTATGATATCAAAAATGCTTTTACGAATGATTTTGATGGTCCTTGGTGGAATCTTGGTGAGGTTCCTCAAGAGCAGAAAGACAAGTGGTGGTCTGATTTTGTGGTAAGATTCATTATATTATGCTTTGCTTATCCTAAACATGAGACATGGTGGTCTGATTTTCTTATCCTAAACATGAGGTCCAGTTCGTTAATCATCATTGTCTTTGTCTTATATGTTTTGTGTGATTGACATTGATATATGAGCTTGAAATTATAATTATCATTGTCTTATATGAAGGACACATCTTTACATTTTGCTTACATTATTCATTACAAGTTATTTGATGCAATTGTCTTTATCTTTTTTACAGCAAAAGTATTATTGGGATCCAGATCATCATACCTTGGTGAAGACTCTCTGGACTAAACAGCTCCGAAGAATGATCTCGAACAACATCAGCAAGGGGAAGAGACAAAATAAAAAGCCAAAATTTGTCTCTGACATCAATTGGAACTTGATGTGGCAACACTGGGATACTCCACAAGCTGTTCATATTAGCACTATAAACTCTCAGAACCGGAAATCTGACCGTGGTGGAGATGGGATTCATCAACACATTTCTGGTTCAAAATCGTATGCCAAGGTCAAATATGATATGGTACAACTCATCTAGTCCCTTATTGTCTTATAATCTCTTTTCTGTTTTCTACATTAGCAAATATTATCTTGAGATTGTGTCTTTTTCTATGTTTGCCTTATTGTCTTGTTGTATACAGATGATGGAGTTGGGTGAGGAGCCATCAATCACAGACTTAGTGCGGAAGACGCACATGAAGCTTGATGGAACTTTTGCTGACAAACGTGCAAAGATGATTGTTGATGAAGTTGAGTCGATTGTTGTTTCCCAGCAATTGAACAACAATGAACATGTTGAGGTTGGCAGCCAAGAGACGAACTCACACACACCAATTACACCACTTATGCGAGATGAGGCTTTTTATTCGGTAAATATTGTTGATTTGCTTCTTCATTCATTACTTAAGATTTTTGGTTTTATAATAGCATTAACAAACTTACTTTCTGTGAATTTCTCTTTTTAGATAGTCAAACCATATAAAGGAAGGGTGTTTGGACTTGGATCTGCTCAGATGGAGAGTTATGATCCCATTGATCCACCATCTCTTGTTCTTCCTCGTCAAGCTCGTTATGAGCGGGACCTGTTCAATTTGACTGGAGTTGTCAACCTAATGAGCCAGCAAATTAGTGCTTTGTGTGAAGCTAGAGGAGTCAGAGTTCCACATGTGACTGAGCAGCCACCTCATCCATCACAGCCGCCACACTCTCAAACATCTCCAAGTGAAGCAGCTGCTACTCCTGCTTCGACAGTTCCTTCTTTATCTTGATAGAGCTTCTGTTTGTGAAAACTAACGACATAACAAGCATGTAACCTTTTAAACCGTCGTTGTTATGTGTTTTCACTTTTTTGGTGTAACCTTTTTTGGTTGTCAACTTGAATGTCGACTTTTGGAATTTCATATTTCTTGTTATAATATATATCATGTTTTAAATCAATTTATTTCAGTTTTATTTAATTATATTTTAAACCAAATATTATTCAAAAATGAATAAATTACATAAGATTAGCTATAAATAATACATAGCAACCTCTCTAGCTAAGCCAACAATGAAAACTGTTGCCAATTGCATAGCCATAACCAAATCTATTGCTATGTTTGCCACATAATTGCTAAGGGAATCTGTAGTTAAAGTTTGTAGCCATATAGCCACGAAATTTTAGCTACTTATAATCTGTTGCTATGTGGGCCACATAATTGCTACGGAGATCTGTAGTTAAACTCGGTAGCCATATAGCCACAGACATTTAGCTACATATAATCTGTAACCAAATCTGTTGCTATTTTTGCCACAAAATTGTTAAGGGGAATCTGTAGTTAAAATCTGTAGCCATATAGCCACATAAAATCTTTCGCCAATCCATTGCTAAAGAGCAACGGAGGAATTTGTTGCCATATCGTAGCTATTTGCTACGGTCGTTGCTCTCGCTAGTTCGTTGCAAAATGGCTACAAAACGGCGACGGCCCAAGTTTAGCGTCGGAGCTGAGGCGACGAATTTCAGCTGTCGCCATCTGTGGCCTGCCTAGTTTTTGCGACAGATTATGTCTTCTTGCTACAGAATAATCGGCAGCTATTTTAATGAATTCTTGTAGTGTAAGGATCGAGCTTATGTTCTCCATGTGTTTTTATTTTGCTAGACACTTGGTTTTCTATTTATTTCATATCTTTTTCTGGCAACTTTTTAAAATAATGGAGTTCTTTGTTTTACATTGTCTTCCTTAACTATATTTTTCTAGATCAACTATCAATACACAAATACAACATGGAGAATTTTCCAATGAGTAGGATACGTACATAATAGATGCCAAGTACATGCTCTGAAACGTCATATACTAAATTAACCGCAATTATTGGATTACCTTTAAGTAATGTGATCTACAAATGTTCAAGATGTTTTAACCTTTATATATTCATAAACCTAGAAAAATATAACGCAAAATTTATTGGAAATAATGTGATCTATACTCTGTAAATAATGTGAGGGTGTCAATAGACATGTTTTTGCAAAAGATGACACTCTCTAATTATATAACCAAATTATATTTCTATAAAAATACAAGGAATTGGACGATTAATTATTCTGCTTAAGATTTGTATTTTGTAAAAGTTAGTTCTTTATATAGGTGGGAATGTTTATATATTTGAAAAGTTTGGTGAAACCAAGAATCTCAATTGTTATATTTTAAGCTTGAGTGACAAGTTTAATAAGAACACTAAACCTCCAGTCACGAGGAAGAGGAAATTGACCTCAAGTAACAATGAAAATGTAGATCCAAACTCAGAACCGGTAACATACACCCATCTCCTTTTTTTATTTTATTGTCTAATTGATGAAGTAGAATCATGATGAGGATTTGGTTTCCATGGTCAGGTGAAAATGAGTCAAGGTTACAGAACTTACAAAAGAGGAAGAGACAACGTGGAAGGAGAGTACTGCAGGATATCTCACCAGATGACGATGATGTTTTTGGAGGATTTTCGGATGATAACCTGGATTTTCGGTCTGGTCGACCGTGATGTGATGATCTCGGTCGATCGTGGTCCATTGCCTCCCGGGTCGGACGGTGCAGTCGTGCGGCCGGATCGGTCCTGGAGAAGGCCGAGCGAAGCCAATACCCTTCCTGTCCGGCCGAGTGCGTTCGGCCGGCTGTGGACCAGTCTTCAGTACAAACGTGATATCTCCTAAACGGCTTATCCAAATTGCATAATTACAACGGCATTAGAACAATAACTCATCTGGCTATCTTGGTGTTGAGTTTCATTGAAATCCATTGAGTTTAAGGGTCTAATCCGCTGCTGCTCGTCTGGTGTACTGATGCAGTCCGATAAATCTCCTCGGTATATGTCTCAGGGAAATAGAGATATCTCCCAATCTACTCGGTAAAATTGATTGATTTCAGTTGCATTGCAAAGCTAACTCCTGTATTCATCTCCTCGAACTCGATTTGATGAATTCCATTGAGTAGATAGTTTTTAAGGCCCTTCTTAAGTTGATGCTACCTCCTGGAGCGGTCTTGAAGTCCAAATCATGTGTTTTGCTCCAAAATGCATCTTTTGACCTGTTTAGACTCTAAGTACTATAAATCCATAAAAACTACCTTTTTAGATCAGAGAGCCATTAAAAAGCTTATGAAAAGCATAGTAAAACCATATAAAAAGCATGTAAAATAGAGGTATATCACACACCCTGTTTTCTTACATTCACGTTAAACCCATTTTTTATTGTAATCAACATAATATGAACTTTGATTAATCTTTTCATCCTCACCTATGTTTTAGTTGTCGGTTGTCAAGAGTAACAGCCAAAGCATTTCAGATGATGGCTCAACCCCATCACCGAAGCGTGATTTTGAATCAATGCATGGTGTCCCAGCCGGATCTTCCACTTCGAAGAAGCATTGCCCCAAGCAACTTCCTACAGAGGCCAGTAGAGAGCTGGTCAATCCGGATGGACTAATTAGCCAGCATCCTGAAGCAAATAAAAGGGAAGCTAAGCTCCACCAACTCACCGAGAATTGACGTTAAGCGTAGCATGCAGAAGAGTCTCCAATAATTAATTGTTTTCAATAAGGATCGAGCTTATGTTCTCCATGTGTTTTTATTTTGCTAGACACTTGGTTTTCTATTTATTTCATATCTTTTTCTGGCAACTTTTTAAAATAATGGAGTTCTTTGTTTTACATTGTCTTCCTTAACTATATTTTTCTAGATCAACTATCAATACACAAATACAACATGGAGAATTTTCCAATGAGTAGGATACGTACATAATAGATGCCAAGTACATGCTCTGAAACGTCATATACTAAATTAACCGCAGTTATTGGATTACCTTTAAGTAATGTGATCTACAAATGTTCAAGATGTTTTAACCTTTATATATTCATAAACCTAGAAAAATATAACGCAAAATTTATTGGAAATAATGTGATCTATACTCTGTAAATAATGTGAGGGTGTCAATAGACATGTTTTTGCAAAAGATGACACTCTCTAATTATATAACCAAATTATATTTCTATAAAAATACAAGGAATTGGACGATTAATTATTCTGTTTAAGATTTGTATTTTGTAAAAGTTAGTTCTTTATATAGGTGGGAATGTTTATATATTTGAAAAGTTTGGTGAAACCGGGAATCTCAATTGTTATATTTTAAGCTTGAGTGACAAGTTTAATAAGAACACTAAACCTCCAGTCACGAGGAAGAGGAAATTGATCTCAAGTAACAATGAAAATGTAGATCCAAACTCAGAACCGGTAACATGCACCCATCTCCTTTTTTTATTTTATTGTCTAATTGATGAAGTAGAATCATGATGAGGATTTGGTTTCCATGGTCAGGTGAAAATGAGTCAAGGTTACAGAACTTACAAAAGAGGAAGAGACAACGTGGAAGGAGAGTACTGCAGGATATCTCACCAGATGACGATGATGTTTTTGGAGGATTTTCGGATGATAACCTGGATTTTCGGTCTGGTCGACCGTGATGCGATGATCTCGGTCGATCGTGGTCCATTGCCTCCCGGGTCGGACGGTGCGGTCGTGCGGCCGGATCGGTCCTGGAGAAGGCCGAGCGAAGCCAATACCCTTCCTGTCCGGCCGAGTGCGTTCGGCCGGCTGTGGACCAGTCTTCAGTACAAACGTGATATCTCCTAAACGGCTTATCCAAATTGCATACTTACAACGGCATTAGAACAATAACTCATCTGGCTATCTTGGTGTTGAGTTTCATTGAAATCCATTGAGTTTAAGGGTCTAATCCGCTGCTGCTCGTCTGATGTACTGATGCAGTCCGATAAATCTCCTCGGTATATGTCTCAGGGAAATAGAGATATCTCCCAATCTACTCGGTAAAATTGATTGATTTCAGTTGCATTGCAAAGCTAACTCCTGTATTCATCTCCTCGAACTCGATTTGATGAATTCCATTGAGTAGATAGTTTTTAAGGCCCTTCTTAAGTTGATGCTACCTCCTGGAGCGGTCTTGAAGTCCAAATCATGTGTTTTGCTCCAAAATGCATCTTTTGACCTGTTTAGACTCTAAGTACTATAAATCCATAAAAACTATCTTTTTAGATCAGAGAGCCATTAAAAAGCTTATGAAAAGCATAGTAAAACCATATAAAAAGCATGTAAAATAGAGGTATATCACACACCCTGTTTTCTTACATTCACGTTAAACCCATTTTTTATTGTAATCAACATAATATGAACTTTGATTAATCTTTTCATCCTCACCTATGTTTTAGTTGTCGGTTGTCAAGAGTAACAGCCAAAGCATTTCAGATGATGGCTCAACCCCATCACCGAAGCGTGATTTTGAATCAATGCATGGTGTCCCAGCCGGATCTTCCACTTCGAAGAAGCATTGCCCCAAGCAACTTCCTACAGAGGCCAGTAGAGAGCTGGTCAATCCGGATGGACTAATTAGCCAGCATCCTGAAGCAAATAAAAGGGAAGCTAAGCTCCACCAACTCACCGAGAATTGACGTTAAGCGTAGCATGCAGAAGAGTCTCCAATAATTAATTGTTTTCAATAAGGATCGAGCTTATGTTCTCCATGTGTTTTTATTTTGCTAGACACTTGGTTTTCTATTTATTTCATATCTTTTTCTGGCAACTTTTTAAAATAATGGAGTTCTTTGTTTTACATTGTCTTCCTTAACTATATTTTTCTAGATCAACTATCAATACACAAATACAACATGGAGAATTTTCCAATGAGTAGGATACGTACATAATAGATGCCAAGTACATGCTCTGA